TCAAATGCAAGGATAGAAGACATTCAAAGTAGCATAGCGTCATTTACACATGTGGGGAGAGATATACAGATATTGTTCTATAATTTTGTGTTTCATTTATATTAGTGGGTCCATAACTTAGCCTGCGTAAGATTATAATGATATGTGCATGTCCAAAACAATAGTCTACAAAGAAAAAAACTGCAATTTTGACATTTCGCCTAAGCCAAAAAAAAAAAAAAAAATCTTTTTTTATTCAACTGGTCTATAATACATGTGGGCAAAAAAAGAAATTAAATGGGTCCAAGTTGGTGCCACATCAGCGCCACATGGGAAACACCATTAAATTTAACAGAGAGCTTAAAAGACTCTTGGACTGGCATCAAGATGCCCGTTGAGAGAAGAATGACACTAGGCCTCTTCTCTAAAGTTTTCAGGAATTATTATGAATCACATTTTAGTAAAGAGATTATAATGATTTTTTTTTATAAAGTTTAGGGCTTGTTTGGTTAGAAATTCAATTTTATTAAAAAAAATTTTACTAGAGAAGTAATTAAAAAAATACTGTATAAAAGGTTGATGAGTATTATGTAAAAAATTGATAAGTTTTGTAATGAAATTTTGTTAGGATTTTGTTGTATGGTTAATTTTTCTACATTTTGTAAAATATTGATATAGAAAAAGTTAGTATGAAAGTATCAATTAGGTCTTATATAAGTACTGTTTGAGAGAAACTTTTTCCCTTCAAAAAGGGTGAGAAAAAACTTTAATGAATTGGACATTGTATGAAAAAGAATAAATGTTAAAAATATTACTTTTATCACTATTATATTATAATATTAATATATAAAAATACATAAATAACCTTATAACAAAATTTAAAAAAAAAAAAGTTTTCCTAATCAAAGACCTCTTTAACGATTTTTTCTTACATTATGGATTGACATAATTTGCAGCAGAAGATAAAGCTAATCTGTAATATGTACTACTGCACCAAAATGAAATGAAATATGATTGATTTACACATTAAAAGACTGATATTGCCAACACCTTAATTAAATAACTCAATAATATTTTTTTGTTGAAATAAAAAATTTTAAATTTAAATAATATAACATACAAGTGAGGTGAATTAAAGAGATAAAAAAGGATTTGTGTTTTACTATGTAACTCAAAAATAAAAAATAAATAAAAAAAATAAAAAACTGATATTCAACCCTTTTTTTTTTTAACAAAGAACCTAATCACAAGCTTACCCGACCTGTGCATAATATTTATTTAGAGATGTCGCTAATAAATAATAATTGTATATATTAGAGAATTAATATGTTATTATAAAGATCGAATCTCTTACTAACGGAGATATTCGAACAACCTATTCCAGTCCAATGGCAAGGACCTTGGATTAGAGTCGTTCACCTCCTGTAGGTGACATGTTTGAATCTCATGGATTCTCTTTTTCCTTCCTTCAATTAATATATGTAAATAATTTCAATTTATTCAAAAAAAAAAACTAATGGAGATATTCAATAAAATATTCCCTTTCGTCTAGCTATCACAAATCTATTATTAGAATAGAGTTTGATCTTCATAATAACATATCAATTTTGTAATAATTTTATTACTTTGATTTTAATCTTTGATTATAGGATGGTCTTTTTCCACCCTTTTGTGTATATATATTGTACCAGCTTCTCAATTGCATATATATGAAATTTTTTATCACTTTTCCCACTAGGCCACAACCTTGACATCTTCAATTGGGTGAAAAGAAAGGCTTATTTTTAATCGAATTCACTTTTATTATTTTTTTTTCATCTTCTTCAGTCATTTTTAATTCTTATTTAATTAAATTTACAATCTTTAAAAAATTAGGATTAGAAAGTACTAACTATTATTTTAATAATCAAACTATAATTATTCTTAATATGCAAGATCTATGTAAAGTATTATAAAATAAGGGAAAGTATTTAACAATTTTTCTTTTTTCTTTTATTTTTTACATAATTCTTTTCTAATTTTTTCTTCTATAATTGCTTAATTTGTAGAATATTATTTTATGTGTTTTTTCCTATCCTTTCTCTCATTTCTAATTTCCTATCATTTTTTTCCATTCCAATTCTAGTTTTTAACTTGTATTACAAACTGTTTTGATATATTAATATAAACACTTAAATCAAAGTTATAAAAAGATAATGATTTGAATAAGATTTTGGTGCAATTGAATGTATATTTCCAAACATATATGGTAGTAATATTGGATATATATATATATATACACAATTTAGATGGAATGTAAGTGGAATTTATATTTAAAAGGACTAAAAAGTTAATAATAGTATAATATAAATAAAATAAGAAATAAAAAAAAAATCTTCATATGACTTGATCTCTATCTCTATCAAATTTATACTTTTCTTATTTAGTTTAGTATATAAATCAACACTTTTATCGCTTCAATTAATCACAATCTCATGAGTAAAAAGTTCTCTCTTTAACAAAAAAAAAAAATAAATCAAATCATTAATAATCTACAAAGAAGAGAATACATAAATTTCAAACAGATAAAGATGCAAAATTTTTTCAAAAGAACAATCATATATTTTATAAAAAAATTCATTAACAAGAATAATACGAGAAATGATAAAAATAGTTCATACAATAATATACATATTTTAGATAAAGAGTAAATGAGATATATAAAATAAAATAAAAACATAATATTATATTAGTTATAATATGAAATAGGAAACAAAAAGAAAAAATAATATTTAGAACTCACTATGTTAGTAAAAAGAAATTAAAAGATGAAGTGGAGAATATGAGGGTAGGAAGATGGAAGGGCATAGAGAAAGACAATTGGGTATTTAAAATCTTTTATTTTTATAATAAAATGTATATTTGTCTTTTACAATTAAAATAATAATAATAATATTTAATGTTGAATCAATGCATTATAAGCTAAAATAGAACTCCCTCAATTATTCATTAATGTGAATTTCACCTTTTTTTTTATTTCAAGTAATTTATTATGTAATTTTTAAATAATTAAATATATACCCTAATTAATACATAAGGTTGCATTTATTTATCTATCTATATCTTTATATAAAATATTATCTTATGTATTAAATATGATACGTATTTATATATATAATATAATATATATAATTTTATAATATAATATAATACAAATAGCAAATCAAGGCAAATTAATTTCTTAACGGTAACTAAAGATAATTTAGATGAAAGAGTAGGTTAATTATTAATATTTAAAAGACCGTTACATCCTTTGATAGATAGATCAAGAGGCAAGACATTTCCCTTTTCTTTGTTTTTTGCAGCATGTTAATTAATAATATTCAATTATATTATATTATATTATATTATATATTATAATCTCCAAAAAGAATTTCCTCACTTACAACAATTGATATTTTCAAAAAAAAAAAATCGTAAGGAGTTTAAATAATTGACATTGAACCGCGCTTTTAGATCTAATAGTTCAACCTCAAGTTTTAAGTGTTTTGGTGAGGTAGTTGGAATTTCGAACTCTACTACCATCATGAACTTTATTAAATACAGCCCGATGGTCATGCGCCTCATTTGAGGGGGTGAAATGTTCACCCGATCTGGGGATCGAATCCCCAGTTGCTAACAACTAATTAAAACTAACTTCCTAACCATTACCTTGTTAAAAAAAAATTGACATTTAATTCTTTACCCTTTTTTCTGTTAAATAATTTTCTTTTTTGTTTTTGACTATTTAAATAACAATACCTTTTCATTTACCAAAAGATAAATTGGTCTTGAATATTAATAATTAACATACCACAAGAAAAAAAAAAGGGAATAGTTTGCCTCTTTATCGACCAAATGATGTATCAATCTTTTGAATATTAATAATCAACATGTTCTTCATCTAAATTATCTTCAACTATTGTTAAGAAATTAATTAACCTTAATTTATTATTTGTATTATATTATATTATATTATCTATATAAATGTATATCCTATTCAATGCATAGGGTAGTATTTCATATATACCATAATGGAGGCGTCTAAAGGATCCAACTTCACAGCAGCAAAAGCAAAACGAACTACAATTTTGGGTACTTTGAAATTGGAATTAAATTTATAGCAGAGAATAAAAACCTTATCAGGGTCATGAACACGCTTGGCCTGTATCTTAATAGCAATTGCTGACTCCAATTCCAAGTAAAAGTATTTAGGCAACATTGTCACTGTAGTCCCCAAGTCAATGATGATGTTTCTTTTTGGGACAATTATACATACACTCAAACAATCAACACCTATCTCAACACCCAAGGTTTATGAACAGTAAAATTACAAATTTATCCCTCTTTATTTTAATCTTAGGTGTTGAGATAAGTGTTAATTGTTTGGGTGTATGTATAATTATCTTTCTTTCTGTGGTTCCAAAAGCAGAAGCTTTGAGTTCCATTGTAAGTTATGACATCGTCAACATAGATCGCTTGTCGGGTAAGAAGATAGAAGGTATCTGGTTTTTTTTTTTACCAAAGGAGAGTAGTGACCCATACCCTGAAACAATAGCATTAACACCAAAGTAAATTTTGCTTGAGTAGTATGGCACATTGGAAATAGGAACCATAGGAGAACATACTTCTTTTGTATATTTATTTTTTAATTGATAATTTATTTCTTTTTTTTTTTAGTAATTGATAAGTTAATGAATGATAACTAATATAGAATAATTGAAAATTATAAAGCTGATCAAATGAACTGTTATCACATAACATTGTAAGAATTTATTTATCCAAGATATAGAGTATATATGATGTATTTTCTTAATCTCTTGGTAGCCGGCTTAGATTAAATTACAGCATTAGTTACTACAAGATAAAGCATATGTTAGTTAAGCATGGGATGTCCTACTCCAGTGTCCATTGTACAAGTGTCCTACTCCAGTGTCTCCTAATTCTCATCTTTTAGCTCAACTCAACACATATAAATCACCCCTTACGTTTTCGAACTTCCCTGAGCATCACCAATTGAGGCAGTTTCCTCAAAAAAGCACACCAATTCTTCTGATCCAAATACATTTAGTCAGATTTCCTTTCCAAAATGATAAAAATGATAGGATTCATAATCTTGAGTCTTTTAGCCTCCTCAATCCCCTCACAAGCCCAACTTCAATTGGGTTTTTACTACAAAAGCTGCCCCAAAGCTGAGAAGATTGTGCAGGATTTTGTCAACAAACACATCCACAATGCCCCCTCTCTAGCAGCAACCCTCATAAGAATGCACTTCCATGACTGCTTCGTTCGGGTTTGGGCTCCTGCCTTTGCAACTTTTCCCCCACCTTCTTCTACCCAGCTTTTAACATGTTAATTAATAACCCTCTTGTGGCTACAATTCAGGGTTGTGATGCATCCATACTCCTGAACTCAACTTCGGGTGGGCAAGCGGTAGAAAGGGAGACCGCTCCAAATTTATCAGTTAGAGGGTATGACTTCATTGACAGAGTAAAGAGTTTACTAGAAGCAGAATGCCCTGGTATTGTCTCCTGCGCAGATACCATTGCTTTGGTTGCAAGAGATGCCATTGTTGCCACAGTAAGCTCTCAAATTAGTTCATTTACTGCAATTTAATTTCATCACAAGGAGAGTCTGTTGTGTGGTTACATTATTACTGTGTACACCAGGGAGGTCCATTCTGGAGAGTTCCAACCGGACGCAGAGATGGCTTGATCTCCCTACAGTCAGAAGCTAATGCCAAGATCCCAGCTCCATTCGACAATTTCACCACTCTTGAAACTCGTTTTGCTAGCAAAGGACTAGATATAAAAGACTTGGTCTTACTATCTGGTACATTACTGTTTGTGTTTCTAATTTTTAGAAACTTTTCGTAAACTTACCCGAATTTTTTGAGACAATCAAATGATTTTTTCATTTTTTGTATGATATGAATGGTTCAGGTGCTCATACCATCGGCATAGCCCATTGCTCTACATTTGCAGACCGCAGACTGCTCAGTTTTAGTGGTGTGCTAGGCGTGGTGGATCCAAGCATGGACGGTGAATATGCGGCAAATCTGAAGGCAAACAAGTGCAAAACTTTCAATGATACTAGGACCATTGTCGAGATGGACCCTGGAAGTCGAAAGACATTTGATCTAAGCTACTATTCTCTTTTACTCAAAAGGCGAGGCCTTTTTGAATCTGACCAAGCTCTAACTACTAATGCTACTTCGTTGGCTATTATCAACCAACTGCTTCAAGGATCACTTGAAAATTTCTTCAAGGAATTTGGGTTATCCATGGAGAAAATGGGGCAGATCGAGGTTAAGACAGGAACTCAAGGGGAAATTAGGAAGCATTGTGCCCGAGCGAATAGTTAAAACTAATCACAGAGCATACTCCCCACTACGTTGTCTTGTAAGTTCTAGAATCTTCTTGTACTTTTTATTGCATGTGTGGTGTGTACCTTTTTCTTTTTCTTTTTCTTTTTCTTTTTTCTCCTTTTTCAGTTCAATTCAAGTTGATGTAGGTGGTCTCCATCGTGCACTTGTTAAAGTCTCCCCAAGTAGGAGAGAGTTTACCCAATGTTGAAAATAATAATGTGATAAAATTGAGTCTTTAGATCTCCAAATATCAATTTATGCTTTTTCTTTTTTTTATTTTTTTTTTGAACGGGTTACAATTTTCATAAAAGAATTTAAATTTCAACTTTAAAATCAAAAAAATACCTTACCATTAGCATCTAATCATTGGGCCATAGAACTCAATTGTCAATTCATGTTGTTTTAAACTTTTAATTTTTTTTAAAAGAAAGTAAGTTTTACTGTTATTATCTTCAAAATAAGTAATTTATTTAACTAAAGGTAAAAGTGTTCTTATTTATTTTGTACTATTAAATTTTTTAAAAAGATATATTTAAAACTTTATACCTTAATAAATATTTCTAAAAATTAGTTATTGAATTAAAAATTTTATTTTTATAAATGATATATTAATCTTTAAATTATTTTAATAAACTTAATTACTTTATTCATTTTGTAAATTTTAATATTATTGAATATATGTTAATAAATAAAGTTTTTTTTTATTAAAGAGTTATAATTATTAAATCAATAGAAAAATTGATATGTACAATTTATACAAATAAAATTTTTAATTTAATAATTAATTTTTAAAAATATTAATTATAAGGCCAATGATTTAAGTAAATTAATTGTAATCTCTTTCATTTGAAATAAAAATTTGATATAAGAGATCTACAAGATTGTCATTTATTTTGCAACGAAATTATAAGAAAATTTTTTAAATAAATCTTTAAAAAATTTTACAAAAATAATTTATTGTACACTATCATCTTATCATCTTGGAAGGGAAAGCATTAATATAAAAACTGCCACAAAATAGACTGTATTGATCTCATACCTCTCTCTCCCCAGCCTGTTCTTCAAAATTTCCAAAAAGGGTGGCTGAAAGTTGACATCTTTCTCCCAGATTTGGAAAATTCAAGAGGCGACGATAATGGGATTCACATTAAACTAAACATGAGATATTGAGATCTCTGAATTTCATGAGACAACAAACTCTTAAATCCTAAAGGG